GCTCATTATACTCTCGACTCTTGTTCATTAAACATACTTTTTCATACAGTACCTGCCAAAAGTTTTGTTCAATCATGAATAGTAGTGCGAGTCGAAAACAAGCGTTAAAGCCTTTAATATGTCTTCAAATATAAATAAACATCTCATTGATATTTTCAGTAGTAATTGGTACCAACAACAGCACATTTGAGCAATGCAATTGTAGTGGATAAAATGGTCAATTTTTCCGTGCAGTACTGTACGGATTTTACCCTCCTAACCGGCTAAGAGTTTGGCCGAGAGTTGTCTCCTTCCTTTTCTGGCCTAGCGCTGTTCCTTTCTACTTTGCGCCGGTCAAACTGAAGATCACATCACTACAGAAAGTAAACGAAGTATACCACAATAATTATTTCGGCATAGGTACTATGATTTCTTCGGGTGCAGAAGTAGTTTATACACTTACACGTAAATTAGAAATTAATTTAAATAGGTACCTATTCATTTTAAAAGAGTGAAGTTATAATATGTGTTTGTTTAAATCCACTAATTTCGAGGAGAAAAATTACGAGGCAAGGAAAGCTTTTTAAAAAAGTGAAGAAGTGCCTACAAATCTGTGTTACAATCAGTGACGCACTGTGAATTTTTTCCCACCGAGGGCGAAGCCTAAATTTGCTGCCCTTACTATTATCGCAATTATCTTTATTTAAGTTGGTCGGGACTGAGAAAGTGTACACAAAACTTATATTTTTAATTTAGCATTTGAAGAGATAACTAGCGTTTATTATTGGCGTAAATTGAAAACGCATGAGCTTACTTACAAATACCTTTCTTTACAAACATACAGATGCGTACATATATTGGATACGATTAATGTTTGATTGAAATCTAAGAGTTTCAAGATCAAACAGTACAATAGCAAACAAGGGTGCGATTAGTGTACCTTGAAATCCATACGGTCCACTTCCTAGTAAGAATAATATATATGTACATATTTTTCAACAAATTCTAAATTTACTTTTTTTTCAATCTTTTTGTTTCAACAGAAAACCGAATGTAATGATTTTTTTCTGATTATATTGCTATTACTACTCACACTTCATTACCTTTGCAATTTTATGAAGTTTCGATAACTCTGCATTATTTAGCTGATGACATTTATAAGATTTAGTGAATGTAAACAGAACATAAAAATTTGTCTTGTTTATAATATACTAGCGACCCGCCCCAGCTTCGCACGGGTGCAATGCTGATACTAAATATATTGAGATTGTAGACTCGCTTGGCACTTGGTGAAACATTATTAAATAAAAATAGAATAGCTTTTGCTATATTGGCTATGAAAATGTGCCGTTTTTACAGTTTATATACTAGGATAGATGCTTTTCACAATGATCTTGATGTTTTTGCGAACCAAGACCCTCAATGTCTTGCTAGAAATGATTAAAAACTGGTAGAAATAGTGTTGATTGATGCGGGTGTGTGGCTTACCTAGATTTTCCTAAGGAACACAACACTTTTCGATAAAAATTAATTTAGCGAAGTTCGATATTTTTGGATATAACGGCTGAAAAATTTCTATCTGTGGTCTTTGTGGGATGATAGAACTAGCAATAAATAATTTACGTGATTTTTAGCATTTTAATAAACAAACATATACTTAAACTAGCACCGAAAAATACTTAAATGATAAATCAAATACAAAATCAATTAATTTATTGTTCTGCATCTTCAAAATAACTTTTAATCTCGTGTTTTATTTAACCCGTATATTTAAATTGCGCTAACTAAATCACTACAAACTAATAAACGATTGAAAAGTAAAAAATGTATACTCCCCTGGCATGCTCCATTGCTTAATCCTAATAAACTTGTAACTATATAATTTTTGATTTAAATCCTATAATGATGTTCTCTTATAATGGTTGATATTCGACCAATTTCTTTCACCAAACATAAGAAGAAGAAAGTATTGGTTCGGCAGGAAATCAAATCCAAATCCAATCTGAAATTTTTCGTATCCATAACTTTTAAGACGAAGACATATTTTTTTAGTGTTCCTTAAATAGCGAAAAATGACCGAGTACGTTTTACAAATATGTCAGTCCAACAAACGAAGAGATCAATAAAATTAGTTACGATTATGAGTAGAAATCAGGGCCAGCAAGTTTATTTACATCAATATAAAAAGACGTCAAAGTTTCTCCTCCTGTTATAAGACTTCTTCAGGGTTTCTTCTAAAGTTAACAATATTATATTNTACAACGAATGAATACTATTAATTAACGATTACTGATATAACTAATTGAATTGATGATGTGATTTTTTTTTTATTTATTTTAATCCCGAGGAGGGGAAATCTTCTAAAGACACCCCCCAAAAGGGAGGTAGTGTCGGATTCACTCCTGATGAGAGCGCCTACCGACTAAAAACCCTCCTCGAGTTGGTAGATCAGCGTGGCGGTTATGACTACGGGGAGAAGATGGGACAAGTTTGAAGAAGGGGAAAGAGTTGAGTGCGAGATAGGTAAAGAAGTGAGGGAGGGAGGTTGGGGAGATGAACTGCGAAGAAGGTGGCCCAACATCGAAGGGAAGGATGGGTATTCGCGCTAAAAAGCTAAATGATGCGATTAGATAGAAAAATGCTTAAATATAACAACAAAATATAGGGGGTGAAGGTACGTTAGTGGGGAGTTTTTGACCTTAGGCTATGGTTAGTGACATCGACCCATCTGGTGATCAACGCTAAGGGACGTTACCTGCCGAGGAAAAACCTACATACTATCATGATAACGTTCTTCTAAATTTAAAACTGCGAATAGTAAAAATGTTTTCTTTGTTGGAATCTGACACTACTGCGAGGCGCACCTGATTCTATCTAATACTGGAAACGACATTTTTGCCGCCCCCACATTTACACCGCCTAGGGCACCTCCAACTGGTTAGAATAATTGCGAAGTGCTCCAAATTAAAAGTTTTTAAATTGAACAACAATAATAATGAATTTAACTTTTTAATATAATAATAGCAATAGAACGTAAAAATATAAATGGTTAATACGGGAAT